CCCAGTGACATGCTTCCTCCAGCATGGTTACACCTCTTAGAGGTTTCGTGACCTTCCCCAAACAGCGCCACCAAATGGGGGCCATGTGTCCAAATGCTTGGAGCCTATGGGGGACATTCTCATTCAAATCACCACACCTGATTTCCCTCTTAGCCACCACATTCAATCATGGAGGACCCTTCCCTGATGTCCTCATATCAGCTCAGTAACCTTCCCAAGCCCCTACCTCTATTCACCAGAGTTGTACTGAGACTCTGTTCTCTCAGTACTTCATAACAAGGATGAAATTCAACAAGAATTTTCAGAGGTGACAAGGCATATTGAAACTATAGCATCCTCTTTTCTTTATAAATTATCCAGTTTCAAGTACTCTGTTACAGCAGCAGAAAACTGCAAGACACCTTTCTGCCTTCTCTATTCTCACACCACTTTGATACCTGACCTAGTCAGTGGCCCTTCACCTTCCCAGTGCTCAAACCTAACCTCTAGATGCCTTCTGATCCCTCAGTTTACATCTCATAACCATCTCATCACCATCCTGTCAGTTCTACCTCAACAACCTCCTGAAAATTTGTGTCTGTGTAAAGCCTGGCTCTGGCAGCTGTTTGCACAAGTAGGGGTGGTATCCTTTCTGTGCCTCAGTTTTTTCATCTATGAAATGGCACTGAAGCATGTTAAACTGACTTGATTATTAATACTGTCCCTTTCTCTCTCAGAAGCATCTTGGTTTGGATGTTGGCTAAATGGTCGAACCAGTTTGTGTGATGCTCTGGTATCTCCGCAAGATTCCCTTATTGTGCCAAATTCTCCCCTGTGAGACCCACACACACTGTCTGGGATCACAGGGCCATATGGTCCTAACCCAGACTGACAAAACCGACACTATGCATTCCATTTGGGTTTTTGGATAAAGATTATAAAGTCTGAAAGAAAGTTACTTACAATATATACACTCATGGACTCTTTCCCTCCATCTCGGCTAAGCTTTTGAGATCTGTGCTGCCAGCCCCCCACCCCCCCACGTGCTGGAAGATGGTGACTTTCCTCCCCTTCCTGGCGTCCTCAGCTTCTGCCTTTAGACCCTCCCTCTCTGAGTCTCTTGGGGTTCAGTGTCTCGGAGAACACGCCTACTCAGCATCCCTCCAGCTGGGGATAGCCCTTTCTTCTCATTAACACTAATAAAACTTATTAGCCATTCTTCATATCAGACCTACATTTGTTGATTATAACCACTTCTTGACCGTGGACCACCTCCATGCCTGGCGTCCTTCCCTGGGCAGTGTCCTCTTGTGGGTGGTTTGAATGAGAAATGTCCTCCATAGGCACATGTGTTTGAACACTTGGCCCCCCGTTGGTGGCACTGTTTGTGGAGGTTTAGGAGGGGTGGTCTTACTGAAGGAGGTATGTCACTGGGGGTGGGCTTGTCCCGCATCCGGTTCACTGTCTCTGCTTCATGTTTGTGGTTGGAGATGTGAGTATTCAGCTTTTGGCTCCTGCAGCCATGCCTGAGACTTAATGCTGTGCTACCCACTGTGATGGACTTTCCCTCTCTGGAACCATAGCCAAAATAAACTCTCCCAAGTTGCCTTGGTCATGGTGTTTTATCACAGCAACAGAAAAGTAACACACCCCTATTCCTTCCTTTGTTATACCCCCTTCCAGGGAGAGCCACAGCTGGTAACTGGCTAATAGGGGTATGAAGTTCCAGCCTTTTGTCTCAAGTTGGGACACCCTTTAGCTCCATCCCAGCTCCAGAGGGGTGTTATGAGAAGTCTCAGGGGCTCTGTCTTGGGGATCATCTTTCTACCTCGCAATCCTAGCTTCCATCCTTCCTTATCGATGTGTCATTTCCCAGCTTGCCCAACAACATTTCCAAATCCCATCTCCCTCTCAGATACTTTCTAGGGAACTGAGGCCTGGACTTCCCAGCAGGACCGTGAGTGACATGAAGGCAGGGAGTCCATCTGACTTCCCAGGCTGGCTTTGGTGAAAGGGAAAGTATCTGAACTGACCCCTGGAAGTCTGAGGTGGTTACTGAACTGGGAAGTTGACAAGGGGGCTAGTTAGAGACCTGGCCTAGGGGGGCACCTTAATGCTCCATAGGAACATGGTTTAAATCAGACTCAGAAAAGAGGGCGTTGGCCCAGGGTAGACAGGGAATTACAGCAGTGGGCACATGTCTTGCAAAAGTGGCCTGTGCCTGTTCATGGGAGTGTATGTCAGTGTGCTATTGTCTGCACTACCAGAGGACCCAGTTGAAGGAACTAAGCCTTAAGTACCATTACCAGAGGACCTAGCTGAAGAGGACTGAGTCTTAAGTACCATTACCAGAAGACCCAGCTGAAGCGGACTGAACTTTAAATATCAGAGGACCCAACTGAATGGGACTGAGCCTTAAGGTCATTATCTTGAGTGGCAGATTGTGTATCTTCAGCAATTCTATTATAAACCCGATGTCCTTATATTTCAGTTGAAACCGGAGGGGCTGGGGTACAACTCAGACAGCCTGGCTCCAAATTAGAAACGAAAGCAAAATCCTCGGAACAAACAACAAAATTTATGCTAACGGCTTAACATTTTGAGTTTTCTCTCATTAAATAGCAAGTAAAAACACCAACAAGGAAAAACAGAAACAAATTATGTATTTTTTAAATTTGGCACCTTTAATAGCATCTTTCTCTTTTTGTTGTTGGCTTTGACTTTGTTGTTGATCTGAACCAGGGATCCACATTTCCAGTTCTTGTCAGACCCCTTAAACAACACAGCAAGTCCAACAGGGATCTGCCTGGCTCTGGGCTCCAGGGGACTGAAATGGAGACCATGGAGGAGGGTTCAAAGACAGATCTGTTGCACACACCAGACCTCCTTTGAGGAGCTGACTGACGTAGGTGTAATGAGTGCCTAGAACTTACATAAGGCAGGGCTGATTCTAGAAGGTTCCAAGCAGTGATTAGAAGATGCCTACTCGAGACAGAATAGACACTGGGTCTGAGTACAGATGATCTTAAAGACACCATTTAAAGCTAATGATTCTGAAAGTTTTCATCAGAGGAGGAATTTCTCATAAAATTCCCTGGGAGATTATTCTAGCATTCCAGACCTTCCAGATTCCAGATTTTAGAAAATACTTCCCCAAACAGAACTCACTAGGGTTCCCGAAAGATACATGTGCAGATTATAAATAAAATATACCAAGAGCCTAGCATCTGTGTCATATTTATTGGGGAACATGCTCCAGGCAGGGCAGGCCATCCTGCCTTCTCCAAGCGAAAAGTCTTTTGGAACTCCATTCAGCCCCCTGGAGCCCAGAGCCTGGCAGATCCCTGTCGGACTTGCTGTGTTTGGAGCGGGCTGTTGCAGATCCGGATGTGAACTCTCACAGAACTGTGAGACTTGGAAAGAGAAAGTACCCAATAATGTGTACATAGAAGACCCATGTTTGAATCCCAGCACCCACATGGCAGCTAACAACCACGTGTAACTCCAGTTCCAGGGGATCCAAAGCCCTTTTCTGTCCTCTGTGGGCATTGCACAACACAAGTGTTCTTAAACACATGCAGGCATACTACTCCTACACATAAAATAAAAATAAATTTTAAAGTTTATAAAAAAAAAGAAGTGTACCTGGGATGTCTTCAATTTCAGGATTGCCAAGACAAGAAACAGCCACACTGTGGCCTAGACCTGAGGGACACGCTGGGGCTCCAGTGTCTACTTGGTACCTGCCACCACCCTCCTTTGAAAGAAGAAACTGAGGCTCCTGCACGGCAGTACACACAGTAAAGGCAGGCTGCCTCGGAAACCCAGGGTCTGAATTCAGTCACCAAGCTTTCTGTGTCACCCAAAGCCTGATACATAACACCCAGGGGACACATCTCATCACAGTTGCAGATGAGGATGTCCTGGTCTGAGACTTCTCCTTATAAGGTGGCATGTAACCAAGGCCCTAAGTCTGCCCAGACTTTCAGCCTTCGTCTTTGCCACAACTCTCCTGAGACTGCCAGTCTTTCTTGCAGTCTAACATCCTAAGGTCAGATACTTAGATTAACAGAGACTGTAGCGGTTACTTTCCTGTTGCTGTGATAAAACACCATGACCAAGTAAAAGCAGAAGAGTTTATTTGGCTATGGTTCCAGGGGGATAAGAATCCATCATGGCGAAACAGAAATCTGAAAACTCACATCTTCAATCAGTGACAGGAAGGAGAGAGGGCAAGTTGGAAGTGGGACTAGGCTATGAGCTCTCAAATTCCACCCCCAGTGACATGCTTCCTCCACGTAGGCCACACCTCCTAAAGGTTCCAGGACCTTCCCCAAACAGCGCCACTAACTGGGGACCATATACCAAATGTTCAAATACTTGAGCCTATGGGGGACATTTCTCATTCAAACCACCATAGGTACTCTCTGGAGTCAACTCGAGGACTAGAGGCCAGAGACCATGCTCTCCTGTAACTGCATAGCCGCCTCGCATCTCCAGTAGAGACAAACTAAGAAACCAATCTACTTGATTACACCGTCCTCTACCAAGAAGTGCACGTCCGCCCCAAATATTCTCCCTCTGTGTCCAGCTGAGAGAAGTTGATCACTCTGAACACCTGTTTGCCCACAGTGGCCACAGTTGCCCAAGAGTCACAGTTACTTGGTGCTTTTCTTCAAACAGTCTGCTGGGCCTGCCCGAGATCTATGACAGGACATTAGGCTCTCCCTGCAGGTGGATGGCACCGAGCTCCGCAGGTGAGTTCTGTGATTGGTCACATGTAGGAACCACTCCATTTACTTTGAAAGAGAAAGAGACTCACTAAGATTTGAGGATGTAACAATCTATAATCCTAGGCCGACACTTCAGCGGCTTACACACAAAAGCTTGTGGCTGCAGAAGCTTCCGAGCCTCTGAGGTCACTTCCTTCTTTTGTCAATGTATATGCGAGCATTTCCTGGCTCCCCATTTATCAGACTTGCATCTTGCCTCCGCCTTTCACTGATGTGGGTGGGCAGTTACCAGCTCACTGGTCACAGCCCCAGTGAGCCTGTTCCTGTTTTCCGGTCATCTCGTGTAGAGAGCCCTTGGTGGTGGTCAACCTGGCATGCCCGCCTGTTGCAGTTCCAAGTTGATGTTTTGGTAACAATCTGATAAAATTCCTAAACACGGAGGAGGGAGGGATTTTCCATGTATCAGCTTGCTGAGTCTCGCGATTACAACACAGGAACTGGTCGTCTGGCTATTCGGGCTGTGGAGAAAAGGCTTCTCCCCCCCCCCCCCCCCCCCCCCCCCTCCCTCTCCCCTCCCTCTTTATCCCCCCCCCCTTCCCCCCCCCGCCCCCCCAAGCTGCTGTGGCCACCACACATGTCCTGGCTCCATCTGGAAGTGAGGGCTTGTACCTCCAGCAGCTCTTGGGGAATGGCCTGACGGGTGCTTTATGGCCTTATTTTCTGAAGGATGAGCCAACATGGATGAAAGGGGACTATATCCTGGGGACAGTCACAGGTCCTGGTGCTGCCAGAAGGAAGTGGGTTTCTTTTCTGTTTAGATCTCAAAGAAATTCTGTCACATTTGAAATCATTGCATAAATATGCATAAATTTAGTTCACCATGCTCTGGTCTTCTCACTCTATAAATATGTAGAGGAAAGAGTGAATTCAACATTGGAAAATGTTAGAAATTCCTGAAGATGAGGGTTGAGGTTTTGCTATGGGGGCGTTTTGGGGTGGGAGGCCAGGAGCTGTGCGGTTTGCTGACTGTGTGGCCTTGGAAAAGTTACTTGGCTTCTCTGAACCTTGGTTTTCTTTGACAAAATGTGGGAGTTATGGGAGTGGATTGCAAAAAAGCACATAGTCCCTCACCTCTCTTGAGATCATGATTATAATTGTTTTTCAAAGTCCATTCCATCACGAAGTACTACTCATGTCCTCTTCGCAGAGTCTGGGTGGGCCTTCTAACTTGCTTTGCTCAGTAGGCTGCTGGTTCTGGTCTAGGTTCAAAACCTCTCTCTCTCTCTCTCTCTCTCTCTCTCTCTCTCTCTCTCTCCCCACCCCCCCAGCTCCATCTCCATCTGAATAGTGACTTGGCCTGCTGGAGGATGAAAGCCAGTGGACCAGAGACAAGCCATGCTAAGGAGGCGGACCTGGGTCATCCAGCCTCCAGCCAAGACAGAGGATCATTCAGACTCCCTGAGCCAAGCCAAGCCCAAACCAGCTTCCTGCAAAACAGTGAGCTAAAGCAATGATTGTTTGGAAGTCATTAGTTTTGGAGTGGCTATTACACAGCAAAAGCTAACTGATACAAAGTGCTTATCTTTCTGTGCTGCTGTATAAATAAGCTTAGATATCACCCATTAAACACTGGGTCAGTATATATCCACAGGCAGAATTTGTACGTATGGGCTGATAATCCCACAGAGTATGCATACACGTCACATACCCTGGGTAGAAAAGGGGGGTTTCAGTGTCTGCAACCCACTGGAGAAGACGTGCACATCCTGGAAACATAGAATGATGGCATAAATGGAATGCTTTAGAAAAGCTCACACAACTTACCTGCTACCCCACTGCTTCCAGCACAGGATGAAGCTCCAGTGTCTTAGCAGGACTGGCCCAGTCCTTGAAGGCTGTCAGTTAGCCTGCCTCTCTCACCTCCTTCATCTTCATAACTGACATCCAAGGTATCTACCATGGAAAACTTTTCGTCCTTAAACAAAAAACTCAGGAGTGAAATACAGTTTTAACCAACTGTTTGTGATGTAATTGATGTACAATAAGTATACAGTTTGCTAAGTTTTTTTGAGACAGGGTCTAATGTAGCCCGGGCTGGCCTTCAACTATCTATATAGCTGAGGATGACCTTGAACTTGTGATCCTCCTGACTCTACCTCCTCAGTGCTGGGATTACCATACTCATTCCAGACATTTGTCACCATGTTCTGTTTTATGAAGTGCTAGGGATCAAATCCAGGGCTTCACACATTCTAGGGAAGCACTCTACCAACTGAGTCACATCCTCACCCCTCCTCCCACAATTGATGAGTTTGGACAAACATATATGTTCTACTTTCCTTTCTATTACTGTGAAAAATGTGATCAAAAACAACTTGGGGCTGAAAGGATATAATTCAGCTTACATGTTACAGCTCATCACTGAGGGAGGTCAGGACAGAAACTCAAGGAGGAACTTGAAGCAGAAATTGCAGAGAACACTGCTTCCCAGCTTCTTGCATTGCAGGCTCATGTTTAGCTAACTTTCTTATGCAGCCCAGGACCACGTGCTTGGGGAATGGTACCACCCACAGTGGGCTGGGCCTTCCTTCATCAATTAACAGTCAAGACAACCCCCCATAGACATGCCTACAGGCCAGTCTGACCGAGAAATGCCTCAATAGAGATTCCCTTCTCAAGTGACTCTAGGCTGTGTCAAGTTGACAGTTAAAGCTATCTAGGATACTTTACCTCTTGTCAATATGACACACAAACATGTCACTTTAAACCATAACCATCCATTATCTCCCAAGGTCTCCTATTTATATTGTAATATAAAATTTTTTACACTTTAAAAGTCCAAGATCTCTTTAAAAATCCAAAGTCTTGGGGGTCAGAGAGATGGTTTAGTGGTTAAAAGCACTGGCTGTTCTTGCAGAAGATCTAGGTTTGAATCTCAGCCTCCACATGGCATTTACCAACCATCCATAACTCCAGTTCCAGGGAATCCAACGCCCTCTCTGTCCTCTAAGGGCACTGCACAACACAGGTTCACTTGCATACAGGCACACAATACACACATATACATATAATAAAAATGAAGCAATTAAAAAAAAATCCAAAGTCTCTTATCTGTGGAGCCCTGTCAAATAAAAACAAGTTATAAACTTTCTTATTATAAAAGTGGAAAGCCAGAACATAAAGACAGTTACACTTAAGCAAAACCAAAATCCACCAGTATAAACTCAAACCCTACAGCTGAACTGGGACTCATTGTGCAGTCTTATGGGCTCTAAAAGGCCAGAAATTTCATGAAAATGTGTTCTGCATAATCGGTCACCTGGATGTTGGGAGTCAAACCTGGGTCCTCTGCAAGAGCAGCCAGTGGTTTTAATTGCTGAGCCATTTCTCCAATCCTCACCAGCTGCTTTTTTGTGGAACTGGGAATCAAACCCAGGGCTCTGCACATGCCAGGCAAGTATACTGTCACTGAGCTATGTTCCTAGCCCTATTTGTTCACCATAATGCTGATACCACACACACGCCTATGATCAACCATGGCTCTGTGGTGTGTTTTGGTGTCAGGAACTACACATATTTCAGCTAGTTGTTTCTCAGAAGCGGGTGACATCTTAATATAAAGACATAGCTTGCCTATTTGCTTTTCAACTTCTATTTTTTCTTTGACAATTTCATACAGGTATATATTGATCATATTTACCTAACCACCCCTTCCCCAATCCCTCCTGACACCCACAACACATTCTTCTCCCTGCTTCCTGTCCTCTCCTTTTTGTCTATAACCCACTGAGTTCAGTTAGTGATACCCTACTAGTCAGTTAGCTGACCTTACTGGCTTGACCTCGTGTAGTAGATGTAACTGTGGTGAGTTCATGAGTGCAATAGCCATGTCGTGTCCAGGAGACAGCATTTCACAGCATCCATCCAGCTCTTACATTCTTTCCATCCTCCTTTCCGTGATGTTCCCTCAGCTTTGTGGGGGTTGGTACAAATATCTCATTTAGGGCTGAGCACCCTCAGTTAGTCTTAGCACTTTGAGATGTTATGAGTCTTGAGTCTCTGCATTAACTGACACTACTCCAGGAAGAAGCTTCTCTGGCCAAGGCTGAGAGCAGCACCAACCTATAGGTAGGTACAAACATAAACAAAACTTGACAAGTCTTACGATAGTCAACATTTAAAATTGTGATTATTAATGCACATTAGTTGTACATGGTAATGGATTTCACTGTGACATTTTTACATGTGTGTCTCCCTATTTTCCTCTTTTACCCTCTCCTCCTCCCCTGCTCCAGTCCCCTTACCTTCCCATGTGGCCTCTACTACTTTCAGGTCATTTTTTAAAAATTCTAACTTCTGGGGCTGGAGAGATGGCTCAGCAGTTAAGAACACTGGCTGCTCTTACAGAGGACCGGGGTTTGAATCCCAGCACCCACATGGCTGCTAGCAACCATCTGTAACTCCAGTTCTAGAGGATTCAGTGCCCTCTTCTGACATCTGTGGGCATTGCACAACATGGATGCACCTACTGACATGAGGCAATACACTCATACATATAAAATAAAAATAATAGAAATGATAAAAATTCTAGCTTCTATATATGAGCAAAAAAAATGTGATACTTGTGCTTCTGCTTCTGCTTATTTTGGTTAATATCATGACCTCTGGCTCCACACAGTCTCCTGAAAATGACAAGATTTCATTCTTCTTTATGGATAAACACCTCACTGTGTGTATATATATATACATATATATATATTCTTTATCCATTCATTCATTGATAGGCACCTAGTTGATTCCATATAATGGCTATTATGGTTAGTACTATGATAAACCTGGGTATCAAGGCATCTCCCATTGTGCAGACTCTGTCTTCTTCAGAAAGTGGTTACCAATTAAAAAGTATCCTGTTAGGCCGGGTGTGGTGATGCATGCCTTTAATCCCAGCACTTGGGAGGCAGAGGCAGGTGGAGCTCTGTGAGTTCAAGGCCAGTCTGGTCTACATAGTGAGTTCCAGGACAGTTGGGCCTACAGGGAGACCCTGTCTCAAAAAGACCATTAAAAAAAAGTATCCTATTGTGGTTTTCTTGACACTGAACCTAATATATAAATTTTAGATAAATGGATACTTTATTACTATTGTCTTCCAATCTACAAAACATAGTATGGTTCTATCTTCTTTAATTTTTTTCAGTTTGTTTTGTTGTTTTCTTCTCTTATCCTTGTCAATGGTATTGCAATAGTGTTGTTTCACTAAATTTCCCTTATCCTGCTGGGAGTCCTTCTCTGACTTAGGGTCTCCAGGTCCTGACTCAGATTGACAAACCAACATGAGACATTCTATTTAGATTTTGCATAGTTTATATGACATTTGGGAGTGGGTGACTTAAGAAAGCACGGATTCTTATAAGCTTTTCCTTTTCCATATTTGAAATGTACATGCCATCCATCTCTCACCCCCGTCTCTCTTGCTCTGCATTCACCCATGTCCAATATGGCAGTGGCTCCAGCCCTTTTTTCCCAGTGTGCTCTGAGTCACCCACACTTGCCCTGGATCAGCTCCAGCTTTTCAGAGGAGCCTTCGGCTACACTCTACCCCTTCCTCTGGCTCTTACAAACCTCTTTTGCAAAGGTCCCTGAGCCTTAGAGGGGGTGACAGGTGCAGGATGATCTCTCTTGTATCAGGGCAAGATATTGACCTCTTGGGCCTTCCCATCATTTGTCTTCAAGACATGGCTATTGATCTATCTCAGTGCTGTTTCCCCTACTATAAAGAGAAATGGAAGGAAGTAGACACACTAAACAAACACAGATGTAAATGCAAATGCCTAGAAGATATCCCAGTAGTTGTACCATACTCATTAAATAGTATACTTGCAATGGCTTCTCTGCTGGGGCCTGTAGCCTTCCCTGACACAGGGAGCTGGCCTGGTCTATAGCACCAGATGTGTGTTCCACCCCTAGGAGTGGGCTTTATCCAATTACAAATTTGTCAGTTGTACGTATTGCACTAGCAGGCATTACTTGGCATGTCCATAGTGTGCAGCACATGGGGTCCATTGTTGAGCAGAATCATAGGGGATCCTTTTTCCCCAACCATCTGCATAGCACCTTCTGGCACTATGAAAGCCATCCATCCAGTGGCATGGAGTTTTTGGCTTAGTCTTAGCTGCATCTCTTCTCCCATGCTCACATCATGCAGTGTCTTCAGCAACATGGCCTTACTGACCTTTAACATGTACAACCTCCTTTAGTGGCAATAGCCTTGGTTAATTTGAGGACATCTAGGATCTCTCTGGCCAACAGCTCATAAGGGGGCAACCAACCCCTGGTACTGTAATTTTTTTCTTACCAGTTGTACAGTTTTGGGAGCCTTTGTTTTGATTTTATATAGGAGTAGGTATTGTAGGCTTTTCCCAACCATTCTGATGGGTATTATTTGTGTCTTGCTCAACCATAAAGCTCCCAAGAATCTTACAGCTATAGCTGGACTTTGT